TCCTGCTGTTCTCGTACTTCGTGTTCCTGTCGCACCTGGTGCAGTAGCGCCTGCACCAGCCACTCTTCCACCGTTTATACAGAGCACATCTCGACTTCCTCTTCCGTATGAAATTTCGTACCTGTGGGTGACAAAACGGACAGCGTTAGATCGTCGAAAGCAAGCTCTCGAAAACGAGGCTAAATTTTATTCCGTGGCGCTGCGCGCCCATGTTATTTAACTTTGTTTTATTTTATCCAATCGACGCTAAATATGTATGTATGTATGATATGAACGAACGTGGGAGCAAGCGAATAAAGAACCTACGAAATATCCCATAGACGTACGGCATTTGTTGCTTTCTACCTACACGATCCCCGGCTTCTCCGAGATAAATACAGGCGTTACGGGTCTAATGAATCGAAACGAAACAGTACCACGATACATCGTATTACCTACTTCTATCGTAACGGTTTTCTCTATTTATATCTTCGATATTGCCGTCGTTGCACTGGTATGTACGATCCATCCCTATGGACATCGTATACTTGACATACATGTTAAAAATACTTTCTGGTTTAAATTAAATTCCACCTCGGGAGTATGCGTATTATTTGGCCATCGGTAATACGTATTATTCGGCCACCGTACGTATACACGCGTGTCCCGAGATCGCGCGTACGAGCCTGGTTTCTCGCTAAGTACGGTTACCCCGTATTGGCAACGGAGAACGAGGAACCTAAGATCGCTACTTTTGCACGTGCTAACAAGAAAGAGCGGCACCGCTCGAGAGGTATCTACCAAGCGCGAAAATCATTAGTTTGTCCCCCGGTCTCGAAATAAAAATTCACGCTTTGACAAAACGATTCCGCTAACTCGGCGAGGCACGCACGCTCCTCGCAAGGAGAGGAAAAAACAAAAAGAATTACGCGCAGCGGGTGCTCGATAATGTGGAAAATTTCTCGAAATCAGCGAAGAAGAAAGTGCATCTCGCTCGCGGCGGCAAACTTTCCGTTTAATCTCGCCGCATGGTCCGGACATTTCGCGGATGCGCGTAATTACCCTGATTTAGGCAGCGACTGGTGCAAGTGATAATTTCTTGCAAAGCAGAGCACGCGGGGTTTAATGGTTGAAAAAAAGTGCCGGGGAATTACAGGGATGTTTGATCCTCGCATCGATGTTCCATACCCTTTTTCGATCTACGTCTGCGCGTGTCGGCCGGGTCTATAAAAGCGACGCAGGGCGTCGCGACGGCTCCAGACGCGACATACGCGCATTGCTGAAAATGTGACATCGAGGAACGTAACGGTTTTCTCGACATCATCGTTCACGGTTTTCTCGATTTCTGTGAAAAGTCGATAGAATATCGAACGCGACGAACCCTCACACCGAGGCTCAGCCCCCGGTCGCTTTGTTCTTGTGCATCGTATTCGTATTTCCCGTCGTGGCATACGTGTGAACAGTGAAAATGTAACTGAAGGGACACGCATAGGAGCAAGAGACCGTTCGTAAGGGTTACAGCGTGAAACTTTACACTGTGTGCTGTACGACCTGTGCGTTGAACGTTAAAAATCATTCAGCGAATACGCTTTTTCCGTTGCCTTAAGGATTACTACGATCGTGGTAAGTTCTCGGAAGCGCAATTACCAGCCTGTGACGTGAGAACTTCGCTCTACCGCTGCGTCTATAAATCTATCAAACGTTTATCTCGCGAATCGAAATGCCGTCGAGACGCGGTCGATGTTAATAGACATCCGCGTTGACAGGGAGTCGTGACGGAATCGCGATAAAGTTAACGCGAGGAGAACGCGATGAAATAAAAATTAGGCGAATACGGTCCACTTCTCATTCAGAGTTATCGCGTTTGCGACGCCCTTTCATTCTTGCTTTCTCCCTCCCTCCACCCTCGCACCCTC